GTGCAAATATTTCAAACACTGATAAAGCTCGACGTGTACTATCGAATGGTACTGATAAAAAAAATTAGGGATCAAAATAAAATTTGAGGTTAGACCCCTTTTTCCACCCAAAGTTCTACACTGTAGCAAATCTGACGTCACCTCTGTTGAAATTTCCATGCGGTAAGCACAATCACTCGTTCATTCATTCAAATTGTTTCAAGTGTCGTACCTGATTTTTTTCTCGTAATTTCGTCAATTTTTGGGATGGAATTTCTCGTTATTTAGATGAATTAGAAAAAATCTGATATCATGGGAATGTTCCTTAGACTTGTATATCAGTCCCATCATTTACGACATGACCTTTCCGGACACGCTGTATACCTACCTATACATATATGTATCAATTCGATCTTCAAAATTCTTCAAATGAAACAATAAAAATACAATATAATCACTAAAATATTTCGTTGGTACATTAGTTGCATTTTTGCCACAAGATGGCGACATTCTCGCTTCGTCTATGCCTACCTCGGATTCTTGTAGTCTTGGCGTTCGTTTCGTTGAACATCAAACCAAAGATTGCTTATTCAATTTAATTAAATTTTAAATTGCTCTGAATATGAAACTAGATGTAATCTCACATAATCTATCAACATTATGATGGTACTTTTTAGTGAACTTTTGAAAGGTTTTGTCGATTTTAAGGAAAAAAATTGACAAAAAAAATAGTAGTAGGTCATATTTCAGAAATTTGATATTCTTAACAAAAACTGACAAAACCATTCAGAAGATCACTCAAAAGTACTATAAGAATGTAGAAGTCGTTTTATCATACAACAATAATTTTCGAGATATTGGAGAAAAACAAAAATACAAAATTTCATTTTTTTTTCAATAACTAAAATGACTGAAGCTAGTTTATATTTCTAAACGGATTCTTAATCAAGATACCATATTTACTACCGAGATTACAATGGTGAGGATCGAATTTGGGACACTGTATATTGAATTATTGAGTGTTCACAAATTTCAAGTAAAATGAAACATCCCTAAACCCCAAACAGTTTCTAATGGCGGATTTATCAAACTTTCACGTACTCTTTCAGATTGATACATAATTCAAGGATATTTTTTTCTTCTAATGCGTCAGTTCAACGATTTCAAATATTTATATCTATATTAATATTTGATTTTGCTCCCTGCATAAAGTTGGATGAAAACTTACTCATCTACTTTTGACGAAATTTCAAGGAAATAGCTATTTATGTACCATGGACGAAACATTGTCTATTATAGTCGAGTCTGTAATTGATAGCTGAGGCCTTAGCGAAGGTGCATATTTACTTTTTTCGTCCACCTCAAACACTTTTCACATCACGGTCCTATTCACACGTGAAATTTGTCGGATTTCATGAATAATTAATTTGACAACAGCAAATGACAGTTATTGTCAACTCACTCTCCGCGCGTACCAGGGTTGCCAGTTCGATTTTCATTCCATCAATGAATACCTTGTCAAAAATTCAGTAAATCTCAATAGATATGTTTAGAATCTATTTTATGCTATATGAATTCCAAGAAATGATATTGAAATAAACCTTCTGACGTCAAAACTTTATGTACTTTCAGTAAACAAAAATGTAACATATTTCCAATGAAATGGAAACAAACAAAACAAACATTCTCATATGAAAATAATCATATTCCTTATTCTCAATTTCAAAAATAATCACAAATATTACAAAATACAGTTGTATAAAGGTATTTTTCTACATTCATGCAAAAAGCAGAACTTTATTGAACTATATTTAGTGGAAAAAGAAGTTCTTTATTGCACTTAGTGCAATACAGTTTTTATTGCACTCATCTGTCATTCTACTTCAACGTGCTGTCATCATGACAAACATTTTTTATATTGCAACTGTGGTTATAGAAACGTCATATATTCATATTGAAAATTGCACCAATTGTTCATTCACTTTCAACATTGAGGGTAAAAATAAAGTTTGAGCTAAATTTTTCGTAACGTATTAGTTCCTGTTTCAATGCAAATCGTATTCAAGTTGCGTTTTTCATTTTCCTACACCTAGTGCCGCACCTCAATAAATCATTTTTTGCTTTTTGCATGAACGCAGAAAAAATGTTGAATGCAACTCGTGCAAAAATTGTTTATTGCACTCGGCGTGTTGTCCGACTCGGCCTAACGGCCTCGTCGGACAATTTCACGTCGAGTGCAATAAACATTCACTTTTTGCAATTGTTGCATAAATTACTATTATAAGATTTGAATTCATAGAAAAGAGGAACAAGTGATATAATGAACGAAAAAAATACAATACAAATGAAAAAATTGATCGTAAGAAACAACCTGTAATAACAGGAACGCACGATGTTCTTTGAACATTATAGGGAGTCCCTTTCGTGCGCTCCAATTGATGAAAAAAATATATATAAAAATTGAATTTGATCTGAATCAAATAAAGTATTGTCCTCTTTTGGTTCATACATATCACCAGTACCAATATGTATGTATATGTATGTACATTCATTACTTATTTTGTGTAATTAATTTAAACAGATCGTGCCGATATATCACGCAATTTATAAGTGTATGTGATTAACTAAAGATTAATAATAATATAGGTAATTATAATAATGAAAAATTATGAAACTATTTTTCAGTAGATCAGTAGAAAAGTTAGTTTCTGCGGACGAAAAGTACTTGCCTTCGGAAATAGTCGGTTTTTCGTTCGAAAATTCGAACGTAAAATGTGATTTTTTGTAGAGGTCGACGAAAAAATATTTTCTTTATTCCAGAAACGACGCAACTCCGGACATATGTCCCGATATTTTCACATAGGAACTTGTTTTCTTAAAACGACCTTACTATAGTATAAATCACTCGTATCGTGATGACGATGGCGAAACACCCTGTATAGCAATAATGATATTATCCTGCTTCTCCCACTTACGAACTTCTTATCGATATTTACGAGGATCTCCATCATAAATCATGTATATGCCCACATAATTATTCCTGTAATGCCCTAGCTATCGTTAGGTACTTATATTTGAAGCAAATTTGAATTAGGCAACATGAAAAACGGAAACTCTAATTCACTTTGGATTCTTTGGAGCATAAAACTGTCCAATTCAGAACCGCGAAGTTGCCTAGACATTCTCGTTAGGATGAAAAAACTTTAGTTTCGTTAACTTCTTTGAAGTTGTTCCTGGACGGAACAAGGTTTCGAAAGCTTTCTTGAAGTTGAATAATTATTATTCTACTCCAGCACCTGCGACCTGCTATCTGTTGTTACAAAAATTGCCCACATCAGACAATTTTCTTGTATACGCTTAATTTATCTGATCTTATAAGCGAGCCACCATGAACATTAATTTCCAACTGCCTTTATAAGTTATTTCATATAAAAATGAACAACCGTATAATGATTCTGTCTCGGATTTTGTACTATATTACGAGCTATATTATGAGATTTTTCGCTTCTTTTCGTCGATCGGCCATAAATTGATCGGCTGTACCTGTCAAATATGCCATTAGAGAAGAAATACGGTATGGTTAATACCGAGATAATTTTCAAAATTTCGCAAAGTTTAAATGAATAATTTCTTCATTCATATTTATATATTTATATTCACATCCCCCAAATGTTTGAATAATGTCTTCATTCATTGGAAACAAAAAATGATCCAATTCTGTCTTCACGTTGATCTATGCCTAATCTGAATGTACTAGGTGGGCCAATAGAAATCATCCTATTGAAGTAGCTCTTATTTTTGCAAATGGCGGTCAACGAGGCGGTCAATGTCACAAGTGGAAGATTTTTTGACCAAAATCATAATGAGCGACGAGGCTCATTTCCACCTCAGCGGGTACGTGGACAAGCAGAACTATCGCTTCTGGGGCACCGAAAATCTACAAGTGATGCTCGAGGAACCATTACACCCGCTCAAAGTGACTGCATGGTGCGCTGTTCACTCTGGCGGAGTCATCAGCTATGGAGTATATAATTTAGAAATAATTTCATATTAATGAAGATAAATTGATTTATAAACATTTTGAAAATATGAAACTCAAAAAGAAACAAAACATTTTTAGTTCTCATACACACAATACAAAACGAAAGGCATTCTGAAAATATTCAACATAATGAAAAAAATAGCCATATATTACAAAATAACATGTACTCATAACAAAATATATATATCACGAACTAAAAAATGGCTCAAAGTTCAAAGTTTCATATTCATCCGGAAAGTCTGATGATTCTTGTTTTCTCATTATTTGACTGAATCCCGCTACATTTCATGTGTAATACCTAATTATTCAACACAATATTCGATATAGTTTTCAAAATATGAAAAGATCCAGAACTGGAACATGAGTAATAAAACGAGCATTGCCCTTTACCTATAGGGAATTACCGCGAAATCGTTAATACGGGGAAATTGGATATAGGTATAATACTAGACAAATTTTTACGCGCTCTTTATTTCTTATTTATTTCGGACTCATTGTGGGTAGCTCAATAATTTTCTCACTATTTAATTGATAGTACAACGTCCTGATTTTCATTAAAATAGAATTTCTTTACAGCGTCATAAATCGGTACTGGTTCATCCTAATGAATTTATTTTTTTACCGAAAATTGGATAGTTCATCATGGATCAATTCGTCTCGATTGAATGTGCTTCTAATTTTTAAAATAAATGAACTATAACCTTCTAATTACGAACGCACCGATATGAAATGATGATGTGAAATCTCAACCTACTAGTGTGACGTCAACATCGAAGTAGAGGGGATAGACTACGGTCCGGTGAGATAGAGTAGGCCCTGGTATAAGTGTCTGATATTTACACCACCATTCGCGATTTCATTCATTTATGTGTTTTCGGCGTTTAGCATTGTTGGCGTATTCACTCTTTAAGGATTTGTTAATGAATCGCGGTGTCTATCTATTGTTTGTTAGTCCTTACAGTCCCCATTTCCTTTTCAGTGCGTCCGCCGCCGCCGCCAGCCTTGCAGCACCCGCCTCCTGGACATCGAGCTGGCCAAGGGCACGAAAGGCCTCGGCTTCAGCATCGCGGGCGGCATCGGCAACCAGCACATCCCCGGCGACAACGGCATCTACGTCACCAAGGTGATGGAGGGGGGGGCGGCGCAGGTGGACGGGCGGCTGCTTGTCGGAGACAAGCTGGTGGCCGTCAGGGATGCCGTGGTGAGTGGGCGAAACGAAAAGTATTTTTTCTGTGTGAAAAAAGTTTGGCATTTCATCTCTGTTAGCAGGTTATAAAATGTCACTTTTCATAAATCACATTTTTCCCGGATATATATCACATATATACAGTGTGTCCACCTTAAGGACTTACCACCCCTGTAAAATCGTTATTATTCGACCAATTTGAAAAAACTTTTTTTTGTTGGATAGGTATTCGAAATGCCCATCCAACGAGAGAGTGATCTAATTCTTGGACTGTTATCGTGGCCAACTGCGACAAATTTCAATGACTCATATTCCAGAAAGTACTATTAGGGATTTTTTTCCACGAAACTTGATGATAGATTGTGAATCAGTACCACTTGAAATATACCTGTACCGATTTTCATCATCATAAAACACAGGGTGTCCGAAAAAACGAATCATCATTTTCTTCAAATAGGTGATCAGCAAATGTAGTTCTGTGGATATTCTCGAGAGAAATAATTACAAATTATCATTGAGGATTATTTCAAATATACCTGTACCAATTTTCGTCATTTGAATATACAATGTGTCTGAGAAAAAAATTAAAAAGGATAGGTAAGCAATATTATTCATCCTGATAATTCTTCACTCAAAATAAAAAGATGAATCAGGATCACTTGGAACATACCTGTACTGATTTCCATCATCATTAAACACAGGATGTTCGAAAAATCAAATTAATATGTTTTTTGAGTTGATGAAAAACTATTGCCTATTTCTTTTTAATTGTTTTCTCATACACATCGTATTTTTGAATGATGAAAATCGGTACAGATATGTTCAAAGTGATCCTCAATAATAATGTGTCATCAATTCTTCTCAGAAATACCACAATACTACATTTTCTGATCACCTATCAAAAAAAACATAATTCGTTTTTTCGGACACCCTGTGTCTTATGATGATAAAAATCAGTGAAGGTGTTTTTCAAGTGATCGTGATTCAGAATCCATCATTGTTTTTTGTTAAAAAAAATCCCTAATAGTACTTTCTCAAATATGGGTCAATAAAGTTGGTCGCAGTTGGCCACGATTACAGTTCATTAGTAAAATCACTCTCTTGTTGGATGGACATTTCAAATACCTATCCAACAAAAATAAGTTTTTTGAAATCGGTCAGATAATAACAATTTTACAGGGGTGGTAAATCCTTAAGGTGGACACACTGTATATACACCGTTGATGGCTTTTGTTGTGCTATATAGTTCCGAAAAATGAGTCAATACTACCGTCTCCGAGAAAGAACTGCAAGTCCTTTTATCTTCCATTCGACTTCGCGGTTACGTATATTACTTAACAACCACTTAATTCGCAATTTTTTGAAATCAAATCACAGAATTAGACTGACAGAAGTGACATCAGATATCTGATTACTTCAAAAGAATGATGATGCCTACAACGCAGGTGTCCCTACTGTTAAAAACTTAAAATTTCACGTCGATAATTTTCAGATTTCAAAATAATGTAATATCTTCTCAATATTGATTCGTCCTCTTTTGTCACAGAAAAAAATGTGTATAATACACGGGAAAAATATTAGATTATAGCTCACGGTTTTTTGTCTCCCTCCGCCACGCGTCGGTAGACAACACAACCTGCAGCTAAAATCTACTACTTTAATAGCACACAATCTCATTTCAGTAAAAAAAAATCAAAACTGGTGACTAAAACTATGGCCCATTCGATTCAGTATATTCAGAAACGGCCTTCTCGATATCTATTATTTATATTAGACTATTAACTCGAGACGTTTTCGAAAATTCGCCTCTAATTGAAATACAGGATGAAAATTTTCAATTCAAACTTGTTTCCTGATATCGATGATTTCCAATATTTATTGCCCAAGTATGAGACACAGAGTATTGTTGTTCAATATACTGAGTGTTTTACAACTTATCTCCTTATATTTCTACCCTTACACAGCTTCAACTATACGAGGGGTGAAAAAACTTCAGTAATGAAAGTTGTAGGGTTTCATTTATATCATATTTTAAATAAACAAATGCGAATCGCCAAATAGAAAAAAAGAGTTCAAATTCGTTATATTTGATGGAACACCCTGTATTTCTCCAACTGTGATGAATGAAATATTTCTTCTGTTCAAAATAGCTATTTATATATCAAGGAAGGTATCCCTTTCCTTCCGCGTGTGAAGTTTGATGCACGACGTATAGCGAAAACTACCTTGGTAGTAAAAACACACTTCACGCCTCGAAAACGAGTAAATAATGGTAGGTTTTATAGCTAGTGATGGAAAATAATCCTTACACTATCTGAAGTTCTAAAATCACCAATATTTACCTTTCAACTAAGGCTTTCATTTTGAATCACAATTTCTATGCGACCAGTGAAAGAAACGGCTTCCATAGTCTGCTACTTCCGTGCTTATAAGTCCAATTGATTTTGACAAAATAATGTTATGCTATAAAATTGTGTTTTTCTGGAGAAATAGTAAAGATACTGGAGTTAACCAAAAAAAGGAGTGTTGAAAGAAGATAAGGCTAAAGTGTACATTCAATTTCAACTTGATAACGTAACTGTTAGACTCCACAGGGTAATTCAAATTTCATAAAAAAAAACAAAGATAACCTATCATTCGAAACAAAAATCGTAAACTTTTTGGGAAGTTTAGCATTTGACAGTCATTCATGATTTGAAATGATCACAAATATATTTTTTTCAATAATCAAAATGATCAGTTTTCAAAAAAGCTAGCTCTCGATGAAGTGATATGTGTATGAGCCCCATTAGCTTCTTATTGCTCAACGACCAATGAAAATATTTCCACATTCCATGTAAAAATAAGAATTCATTCCTACAGTAGGAGTGTAATGAAGTACACATAATACATAAGGCGGAAATTGAAACACTATTTATATTCAAATGTAATTTTTCGATACAATTCCGAAGAACGTAGGAAGTAGCATAAGTATATTATAATAGTTACGAATGTTACGACCTCAACCCCGCTGCAGGTCTACTGAATACTGGATGATATGGCAACATAAATATACCCATTTTTCAACATCCTGTTTTATGATTATACCCGATTCCAGGCCCAGACGGCGAAAGTCCTGGAGCAATTTCAGCGGATAAAATGCCATCATTAAGAAGTAACTCGAAAAGCTGAAGCACTCGTAACCGGGAAAATGAACAATTTAAGAAAACTCCGGGGAAAAAGATTAGCAGAGTGAAACTTTTTTCTTTGGACAAGAATTCATAGCGCTGATTACACACGTCAGGGTAGATATATCATTGTTGAATCCCCTTTTAATGTTGTAACGGCCCTGTTGGAGCTTTCAACTCGATTTAGACGAGGTTGGGAGAATTCATAGTAGGGGAGCAGATGTCAGGAAAAAACGACCGATCTGCACAAGGTTCGAATGTCAATCGCATGAAAATTCGACCCCCCAAGTGTGATGCATTGATGAAATCAGCTCATAAAGGAGAATCAGAAAATGCAATGAAATACAGGGTGTTCCATAAGAAAAAGTATAACTTCGATACGTCATGCATTTTTAAGTCACCCTGTATAACATGAAATATTTTGGAAATGTGCTGCTCATGAGCCTAGACCATCACAAAAATTCATGTTCCCATTTCAATGACTCACCCTGTACATATGTTGAATGACGAGCCGTCACTGGTATATATTAATGCTGGAAGAGTATGTTCTGTTGCAATGATTGTATTTTTTATTTTTTATTTTTTTTTCAGAAAGGAGAGGTGAATCTAGAAAATGTGACACACGAGGATGCCGTAGCGACGTTAAAAACTACGCAAGACAGGGTCGTCCTTGTCGTAGCGAAACCAGACAGTGCCTTCAATGCCCCCGCTTCGGACACCTCCTATTCTCCCCAATTATGTAAGTACCTATACCTACAAGCCCCCGCAACATATTTATTTCATTTAACTCTTGACATCTCAATAAATGTTAACTATAGTTTGTGCGAAGTCAGTTGAAGAACTTCCGTTTTTAAGGACGATACGAGTATTTGTCGATTTGCTTAACATTGGAATAGGAATGAATGAAATATTTTCTACTGAGCTTTCCCGGTATGCAGCCTGTGCAGTCAACGTGGACTGGACGAGCGCTGTCATGCTAGAAACCGCGTCTCATCGGTTACTCCGAACGTGTCCGAACTATACTGAATGTTGATTGGTCAGAGTTGCATGGGCGCTAGGCAGTACGCTACGAGCTAGGGTTGTCTTCCTTGGTTCAACTCGAAATTCAGAAAATTTATTATTTCAATCATAGTGGTTTTGTACTCTTGAGGCCTTCTGAGGAAGTCTACGGAGTGAGTGATAGTGATTCGGAGGAAGAACAAGCGGAGTTCGCCAATAAAGACTTACACGTTCAAACGCAAAGGGTAATTTTGAATATCTTTTCGCGCCTCAAGGACGAGAATAATGATTCCTCAGAAAACCAACTTGTGAAGAGAATACAGGAATTAACTAAAATAAGCTATACCCATCATAAACAGAGCTATTAGAACCGGAGGAGTTGTAGATCATGAAGTTAAACGAAAAAGAGTGGGACAAAAACTACGTGGTTCGACACTCATGACGTTGTTCAATACGGTTGGATAGATGATAGCAAAAACTGTAATGTGAGTGGTCCGAGTTCGAGAGGCAAAAGAATTATAATCCTTCACGCCGGCAATGAAAATGGATTTGTTGACAAGGCCTTGTTGTTTTCTGTCAAAAATATCAAGCTATCCTAGTAAGTACTAGTAGGAGTAAGTTACCTTGTATAATCTCGAATATGCGTGTATCTTACATAGAGTAACTCTACCAATCAGAAATTCGAAATTATTAGCATTTCCATAGTACTTATCTTATTCATATTGTTGGGAAGGTTCGAGTCTCTCAGGCTGATGACCTGAATAATGTATCAAACTGATTGATTAATACTGATGAAATATGGCATTGTAACATACATATCTCGAAGTTCCTCATACTACTGATAATTTTTATCAAGTACAATGTTTTATTTTTATTTAATATTGTTGAGAATTTTTATTAAGATTAATGTTATATTCATATTTTATTTTGTTGAGGACTTTGATTTAGTTTAATTTTATATTCATATTTCAAATGTGGGACGATAGGGCTATTGGCGAACACCCACTCAAAACAAGTAACCAGCCATGGGTGCCTCATGGGTGGTCTGGTAATTTTTTAACAATCAAGAATTCATTTAAAAACAGCTTTAATTTGTGGTAACGAAAAAATATTTTACCCGCCTCTGTGAGTTGCGGTTTGTTAAAGGATTTGCCGACATGCAGCCGGTTAAAATTTTTTTCGGCTTTTTCAACTTCGTATAAACTATACCACTACGCATCAGCTGAATATTAGCCTATATACTCGCGGTCTCCAAGGTCATTAAATGACGTTGCGATGGCATTCAAAACTACGGGAAAATATCCTGACTCCTAGTCCTGTACGTGGGTATATCGAATAGGGGTGATTGAATGCAAAAGGTGGGGTAGTAACGATTTTTTGTTGTTAGGCTTGGGGCCCCAATGATAAATCCAAGTTCTCGACCTCGGCGTAGTGCTAAATATCACTCGTGCTAAATATGTCACTTTCCACACTAGTTATGTAATATACTTTCGGCTTGAATTTTTCCTTATCTGATCCGATGTGACCCGGATTTGGACCGATTATTCTTACTTCATTGACTGATTGACTCTTACTTTGCATTGAGGCACGAACCAATTTTCTTTTCTGATTTCTTTGTCGTCGATATTTTTAATTGATATGCTAAAAGCGGTAAAATCCAATTTGGTCTCTTTCCCGCGCATACTAATCTCCAAATTAGCATCGGCGTAATGGGTATAAACTGGCTTATTTTCCAATTAGATTTTCCTTCATTCCAAGTTTTTCAATATACTCTTAATTAATTACATTCGCGTGAAACTAGATCGAAGATTGAATATATGATACTATTTTATCGAATATCGAATGAATATACATTAGAGAAACTAGTAGAGGAATGTGTGAGCAGTAATATAAGCGAATTCCACTATTTTAGTAGCAACCTTCAAGAATGACAAATATTTCATTTTGAGCTAACTGGAATATCCGAGGGAATATCTCACTGAACTGAACAACTCAAGTTTCAACATGTCGTATATCTGGTGATATAGGATATTATTTGTTATGAAATCAAACACAAATCACATGTGGTGATGAAATAATCCTTTTTCTACTCTCATAACTAAAATGGCATTTAGCGTACTGATATCTATGTACACTCGTCTTCAGTGAACATGTCGCGGTTGAACGGTATGTGCGCTCTTACTGCAGGGGTGATTTAGAAAGCTGACACCGTCCATGTGCGACATGATGATAAATGATCGATTAATCACGGATTGACGATCACACCTTCAGTCTTTCTAGACCTGCCCGACCTGTCAATTATTGTAGGAACTGTCAAGTCATTTTCTATTTTGCAATTTGCTATCGGTGACAATCAGAATCAATCAAACAATTTCTGGTTGTATCAGAATTCTTCATTAAAAATGTATGCGAAATTTAGACGGGAGTAAAATTGAAGATGATGTTTGAGGTACTTGCATATTTCCAAGAACTCTGTGTAAAAATGAAGCTCTCATCTTTGTGGGCAATTTATTATAATGCTAAGCATGACAATATATACAGGCTGATTCACGGTGGACGGCACATTGGACTCAAACTAAACACAGGATTATTCTGAAAAGTTGGTGCCTTGGATAATTAGTTGTGTTCTATCGACCTAAAAATATTCTCAGTGTTGCGACGTTGCAGCTTATATTGAAAAGTAGCAACAACTTTGATTTTTCACATGGGACACCCTGTATATTTTTCCATCTTCAGATTTTCCCTGAAGATCAGATTTCATTGACTTGTAACACTTGGGGTGTAGCAGACAATTACAGAGTTGTAGGATGTGGAAAATCAAGATTTTTTAACTTTAGGATTTTTTTTGTCGAGACTATTCATAAGTATTCAAAACGGTTTTCACGTCCCTATCCCAACATTTTATTCCCTATCAATTGATATTTAATTGAAATTAATACAGGGTGGCTCAGTATTGAGATTTTTGACCACCTTGTATCTATTTCAATTAAATATCAATTGATAGTAAATAAAAAGTTGAGATAGGGACATGGAAACCGTTTTGATCAATGATGAATAGTTTCGACACAGAAAATTCTTAAAGTTGAAAAATCTCAATTTTTCACACCCTATATCTTTGTTATCATTTCCACTACACCCTAAGTGTGATAGAATGATGAAATAAGCTCTTCAAGGAGAATCTGAAAATGGAATAATATACAGGTTGTCCCATTTAAAACATCAAAGTTGCTGCTACTTTTCAATATAAGCGGCAACGTCGCAACACTGAGAATATTGTAGGTCGATAGAACACAACTGATTATCCAAGGCACCAACTATTCTGAATAATCCTGAGTTGCGTTCTCCAGAAACTTCTAAGGTGCCATCCACCGTGAATCAGCCTGTATAATCGTAAGAACATTTATGTAAGCAAAAATCATGCAATTATAATATGGATACAAACCTGAGTAATCGAAAACTTCGATAACTCAGCGAATCGTAGAGTTTTTTCTTCTACGTCACATGAAAACTTCTCATTCACAAAGGTTAGTAAAATTCATGTTTTCTATGGACTGGACACATCTACAACCAATATCACTTCAATACGTATACCTCGTTGGTTGCATGCAGTTGAATAGTATTATGTTATCAATTTCCATTCCCTTCGAATTAATTTGTAGGCTAGTATTATAATGTTCGGAATTACGGGATCTTGTCGAAGGGAGAAATTATTTTATGAGTTCGTAGAAAAAAAGTATATTCTAGACACTAGTTCATTAAACAGACGTTTATAACACTTGTAGAGTTGTACTTATATTATTATATATATTATATACTATTATGATTATGGCTCTGATATATCAAGGTGGTATGGAACTAAGTAAATAAAAAAATTCAATACATACGAGACCTGTACAAGTTGTGTATTGAATTAGTTGGTTTCAATATTTCTCTATCGACTGTATTTCTTATAATACGATAAATAAACCATAGCTCCTAGATTAATGGAGATGATGGATACTCTACTTATACAATTACTTGGCAAATCCACGAAAATTAACTTATCACCGACTGTCATTTGAAATCTGATATTTGGAAAACAATCAACAGAGATTGGCGGATTTCAAGGTTGCAGTAACGTCTAGCTAAGGAAAAAAGGAAAGTTTCATTCTAAAGATTCAAGAATTGAGCCTCTGGCATAGATCGAAAGCCAAACTTGTTTTCCCTCTTCTAAATGTCATATACGCCAATACAAACACCCTCATGTATTGAAAGAAGGAGCAGAATTGATCCATAAACATAAAAAAGAAGAATTTTTGTTCCTTTTTTCAATTTTTCTCCCGTCTTCTGTTTTAAAGATACAGGGCGTCAAAAAAAAACGGTTTCACCACACAAAATTGAACACACTCCACAACATACTTGATAAACTCAAAAATTTGGAAACCAGCACTCAACAACCTGAAACATTCAATTGAAAATTGTATTTGACAATTCTGAAGTGATTTATTTCCATGGTAACTTTCGACGATTACAGAGATATCAGAATTTTGTGAGTTTTTATTCATAAAACGTCAATTTTCTGGAAAACTGTTTACTTCAGAGCATTGAAGAATATTTTTTTTGTCCGAAAGATATTGGCGCTTCCGAATGTGCTTGGAAAATTACAGTTTCTCCAGTGGCATGAAAGTTTGAAGGGTTAAACCCTTACGAGGCGTTGAACTTCCTGCCACTATAAAATGTCCAAGGAAATTGATGGAGAGCCTTGAAAGTAGTCATTATTAATGGTGAGGTATGTACAGTGGAGCCCATTAAATAGGTAACGACTCGTGTGAAAATCCTTTTAAATTTTCGGTTTATGCGCCCGGACTAATATCTATTCCAACCGCCCGCTGTTTCAATAACTAATTTCTTATTGTGGTTTGTGGTACGAGATAGTCTGGTGTATCTCTGAATATTTTCTAAGATTTGGGGTAAATATTCACTTCGCTAGAGTATCTCTCGATTCGATGGTATTTCTATTAATGAAATAAGAACTAATTCTCATCAGCATGCGCGATAAGAAAACGGTATACACCCTATCATCTTCAAACGCGATTATCTACTTCCGGAAATTCTAATTTTTAAGTATAATACTTAGGCTTCGATAGACCGTGCAGATAAATTTGGAGTACAGGGTGATTGATTAGGTTTGATGAAGTTCAGTTTCTCTTATCTCCTATATTCACAAAAATATTACTTTGATTCAGAACAGTGTCCTGTCACCCTGTGATACTGTGAATGATTCAAGACATCAAGACTATCTATTGCTAAAATCTCTCAAATTGACAATTTGATATATCAAACGACATAGAAGATACTGCACTTTATCACACTAATCAATCACCCGGCTTATTAATATTTTTTTCTGATTGGAGTGAAAGTTCTAGATCAATTACTAGATTATTTTTTCCATTTTTGAAATCACTATAGTATTGAGTGTAATTTCTGGACAATCTGTATGACCAATTTGTCTACTACCTACCTTCATTCAAGGCGTTTATTGATAGTTTGTCATTGTCACTTAGTCATTCGCAATAATTTTCATAATGTCATTTTTTATATGAGCTTCACTGCTCGTATTAGATTTATTCTTGATGGAAAAAACGAGGAAATATATCACAAATTTACTCAATCTAGCTAACACATAGTATATTATTCAACGAGCGCATAATGATGGCTATTACCCACGAAGATGAAAGTTGCAGCACGAGCCGAAGGCGAGTGCTGTAATCATCTTAGATGGTAATAGTCATTATGCGCAAGTAGAATACTATACTTTATCTACAACTATTCAAATATCAAAGCAACTCTGAGAGTTCAGAAATATATCTTTGAAAAAAATGAAGGTTATTATATTGCAAAATCACTAAATCTGATTTTAAATACTCATTAATTCCATCGAAAATTTATTGACAAAGATTCCATTCAGCGAACAGCTTATAACTTATTTCAATAATTTTGATTGTGAAAATTTGATAAACAATGTTGGACATAACTTTTATTAGCAGGAAAAAGTCGTGCAATCACATATCAGTCAATCTTACCAGGTATTATATGATATTTCACTTCTCAGTTGTAAAATGAATCATATATATACTATTGCAGATTATTCATTTTTTGCTTCCGCTGTAGCGTTCCCCCACCGCGATGATTGATTGTAGTACCCTGTCTCTAGAAGCTAGTTATCAACAATGAAATTCCATGGTTCTGATTGGTCTGTACTAATCTATTCCAATAGCCTGTAGCCATATTAGTGTTGGTGTGTGCCTTAGATCATACAGGATCTAAGGTGTGAGCAAATCTGCAAGTGTCAAGCCCTATTTTATGGTTATGGTTACTCATGATGGTTACTCATGATGGTTACTCATGATGATAGTCACTGTTGAGGATGGAAAACAATGAATTCTTATTTTTCCGTGTATTTGTAGAATTAAGATGTTTAAAACTTCGAGAACAATGGTACGGTGGATTTGCGAACTAATAGAACGAATACCTACCTACCTAGTTGAATTTGACAAGACGATGGGATGTCAAATTATTACGCCACCCTACTGTCATTATTACTCTTATTACTCGATTCATCACAATAATGACTGCCATTAAATGTCGAAAATCGAGTAAGCAATGTATGAATGACTCCATAGTTGTAGATAAAATTTATTAAATGTCTCATATAAGTAATATGTATATAGTAGGGGTCGCCCTCCTTGTAACTTCTTTATTTTACGTATAACAAAAACTGTTGAATGCATAAGCTGTGGGGATTGATTCAATGTATTCGATGGTTTAAGATTTATCCATATATGGAGTGTCTCAAAAGAGCGCTGCGACAAATGAGTTCATTTTTTTCTATAGGGGCACCTGAAATATTATTGCATTCTTGGATTTTACGTTGATTGTAGAGAAAATATGATATATATTTTTTTATCACAGAAGTTGATAGTGTTGGGATCATAAATAATAATTAATAATTGATATTTCGAATATTTTTGTACCAGTTCAAGTGAGGAACCATTTGGAATAGTATATAGTATTATAAAAATACCAAATTCGAATAACGCAGAATTTTTCTATAGTCGATTATCCCTCATAGATATAGCCATTTTCATTTGTCACTATAAACCTACCATACTTATTTTATTTTCTGAGCGGTCATCGCTCTGAAAAATACGATGTTTTTGCGGTTTCCAACTGCACATACTGTAATTAGGTTTGTAAATTCTAGCAAAAATCTGCAAATCTCATCAGGAATGTTGTCCGAGGAGAATGTGTTTATGATTATATTCATTTCAATAAATGATAATCAAAATATCAAACGTGAGTAGGATGCTGTCGTAGAATTAAAATCAAAATTCGTAACGAAACGTAATTATTTCATCTCTTGGAACGTACGAACCTATATTATATTTATGAAATATCGTATGCATGTATATACCATTGAAATTATAATGAAACAATATTCAATTCGTTCTATATGAACAGTGCATATTTAAATACTACAACTCTTCATCTCTATTTGATATCAATTTGTAGTTTCCGAGATTTATTTGTCTATAATATTGGATCTACACCAAACAGGCAAAACAGCAACAAGAAAGAGTTTCTTGTCGATATCAACAAATTTACTACTTTTCAGAGACATTTTAGAAACATTTTGAAAACAGGAGTCGTCGGCGACAGTTTTTGTTGTTTTCGGAGTCTCGACCCATTTTCATTATTCTATGATATAAACCGTGATACATTTTTCAATTAATATTTTGAAGTGTTCACCATTGATATTTTTTTAAAATGTATTATTTTCAACAGTGACATTTAAACATTTTGATTGGAATTTCATTTGCCAGATAGAGATTCTTTCAATTCTAATTTTTATATACAGTGTGTCCACTGCAAGAGCTTACCACCCCTGTTACTATAATAATATGATAGAATCTGAGAACAATGTATTTGTTGGATAGGTAATCGAAATGCCCATCCAACCAGAAAATGATTTCATTCTTGAACTGTTTTCATGACCAACGGTGACCAATTTCATTGACCCAAATTTCAAAAAGTACTATGAGACAGTTTTTCACTAAAAATATCGATGGATTTTGCAGCAGGATCATTTAAAACATACCGGTACCTATTTTCATTATCTTAAAACACAAGGTGCCCCAAAAACCGATTTATTATTTTTAAATACTTCATCAGAAAATGTAGTTTACCATGGCATTACTGGGTAATGACAAATTATTATTGAGAACTACTTCAAACATATCTGTAAAATTTGGTGTTCTATCAGAAATAAGGGAATTCAATTTACTTCCCGTATTCGGAAGTGCGCTATGTCAGATTTACCCTCGGATATACCCAAGATTTTTGAGAGATTCATTCAACTCATCATAATTTTGAAAATGAATGGGTTACCTGAAGATACCTGAAATTATATAGTTTAGTACCATATCTTTATTATTTTATTAGAATTTTATCGATCGTTTTCTCCTGGTTATACAGGGTGTGATTTAATTGATGGTTAATGATAAGGGATATGGTTCCTCACTCCATTTTGAGAAAAAAGTTCATGTGAACATATGCCCTGAGACTTGTTGTAGACAGTATATTAAAGTTATTATAATGAAATAATTTTTGCCTGAAAATTCCAACACCCTATAGCTCGAGAGCTGAGAGGTTTGATTAATCAACTGTGGATTGTTGAAATTTACACATTCTTAAATCCCTTTATTTCAAGATTGGATTCTTGTTATGATAATATTATATCGTTCTCATCAAGACTGAATGATTGTGAAGCAGTCCAGATCAATTCCTATTTATTTCATTGTAGTTGCCAAGAAATAACTATGTCATTGTTATTTTTCAAGTTTGAATAATAATTATTACACCTCTGGGTATACTGCTGGGTATACCCTATATAATACCTTTACAGCGCGAAGCAGGTCATAAAATGCTAATGAGGGAGGCAGCTCGTTTCTAGACAGTGAATAGTACATGTGCTTAGACAAAAATATTTCAATTTGCCCAAGAGTCGTTACCAATTTATTGGGCATCACTGTACATGGGTTCACCTTCGTAGCTCAAACGGTTTCTAAGATAAGAGCAAATATATGAATATTTCTATATTTTTTCGACGCCCTATATACTGAAAACGGAAGCACGGAGAAAAATTTAGAGAATGAAAAGAATGTCTCTTTATTCATGAGGAATCTACAGTTTTCCATTGCGACACTTATTTGTTAACACCCTGTATGTTCGCGTGTATAATTAGTAGGTTAGTTGTTGCAGGTCATAAACATTACATCTAGTGGGTAATGTAGGGTAGTGAGCACAAGTGCTTATAAATAGTTAATAAATCAATATAGCACACACAAAAAAAAGAAGAAAGTTTTGTCAAACAAAAATAACAAAAAAGTTAACATCGAATAGTTATTATTGTATGTGCCATGAGCCCAAATGTCAACACATCAGCATCTAAATACGGTCAACGTCAGATTCAATTTCCTTTTAGGTTTAGAAGGGCGTTCGTAAGAATTCCTCAGTTGAAAGAAAGCAGTATCATTTACTGAACCAACTTCTTTTTTTCTAGCTACAAAAGCCTCCCATGGATACGCGGATTCGGTGCACTCTGTACATTCATCAAATTTAGCCCTGCATCACCCGCCATCGACACCCAGAGCAATAAGTGCCGAAGATGTATCCAGGTAAGTCAGTTATTCATCAACTTACTAATGAAAAATATTGATTTTTTTCACCATTATTTATTCAAGGTTTCACTTTGAGTGAAACTTGTCCTAGTAATGAATTTCTTAGACAAATACCTCGTATGTGGTGAGAGTTAGACCAACCATCGCTTGAATTTGTGTCTGGCCTCTGTTAATAATAATAATAATAAAAATAATATGCCTTTATTCACACGATTGATATGGTAATAACAATGAACAAAAATAAGTCCTAAATTAATAACATAATCATATGAAAGGGCGGAATTCAGTTACCCATATCCCATATCCAAAGACACTGGCATCTGCTCTTCCATTCCATTGATGAATGTTTTTATCGTCGTTTCCTTAACTCACCTTCGAGGACTTCTGAGGGTTGTTTTGATAAGTATAAGATGATGAGCTTTAACAACTATGAATAACCGAGTCGAGTGCATTCATTCGACAAACATTAACACAATTTTCGAAGACAGGTAGACAAATTTCAGGTAGTCAACGAAAAATGTATTGATGGATGCAGTTTTCATTAAAATGTTATCATCAAGAAGAGACTAAAGACTATGTGCTTGTTTCCTTTCACGTTCGTTAATTCTCCAGCGCCTTGAAACATGAAAAATGTAGGGTTTCATCTGTACTATCTCCTAGCACTCCTTAAATAAACAAAAACGAATCGCAAAATAGAAAAAATAATTGTCCAAATCAGTTTTTTTGAATGAAACACCCTGTATATTTCCAACTCTACTGGAATATATTTTTCTCCTGTTCACGAATATACAGTGTCATTCATAAAGTCGGCATCATATGGGAAAAACTTTTAAATGACTTATTTTGAAATTCGAGTTGGACGTCAAGTTTTGCTTCAAAAAAGATGAAAAATGGCCTACTCAATCGGGGTCACATGACTTTCGCTACATGTCAAGAGTGAAATTTTTTCAAATTAATCGTTGAAAGTACGCTTATTTGTTCGAAGATCGAAAAAGTTTACTTGAATAAGTTATTTCTATTCGAATTTTACATATGTGACTCGGATTTTATCTTTCTATTAAATTTTTTAGATTTCGATATTTTTTAAAAAAATTCGAAATTTCTTTAATATTAAAAAAATTGTAAATTTGGTAAAACTACTCCATACCAGTAGCTTCATCATGTTACTAATTTTCAATTATAATTATCACTAATTACCGACAAAAATATGATTTTCTTCAGAAAATGTTAATCTCTTCAAAATTCTGTTATGTTTGATCCAAACAACATTAAAATCCTGTTATGTTTGAGTCAAGCATTTAGAAACGAAATTCATTTTGATTTATTTTTTCAGTACTGAAAAGATCAGTTTAAATGAATTTCGTTTCTAAATGCTTGACGATATCAACTTTGCATCAAACATAACAGAATTTGGAAGCGGGTATTATCATTTTCTGAAGAAAATCATATTTATGTCCATAATCAGTGATAATAAGTAATTGAAAGTAAGTAGCATGAAAAAGCTACTGGTATGAAGTAGTTTCGTGGAATTAACAATTCTTCAAATATTACAGAAATTTCGAAAAATTAAAAAATAAATCAAAATCTAAAAGTTGCAATAGAAAGATCAAATTCGGGAAGCATGTGTAAAATTGAAATAGAAACAACTTTTTCAAGTAAACTTTTTCGATATTCGAACAAATAAGCCTACTTTCAGCGATTAATTTGAAAAAATGTCACTTTTGACATGTAGCAAAAGTCACGTGACCCCGATTGAGTAGGCCATTTTTCATCTTTTTTGAAGCAAAACTTAACGTCCAACTCGAATTCCAAAATAAGTCAATAATAAAAGTTTTTCCCATATGATGCCGACTTTATGAATGACACTGTATATAGTCTGCTAATGTTTCCTCTAGCCATTTCTCACCTATTTAGCATTGAATCAAAGTTGTCAATAACATTTAGATGTTTTTGGATGTATGATAAATTGATATTCATCATACAGGACGTGGAAAAAAATTCTGAATTGAGAAAACCTAATCAACTGATTTGATTTTTTCTTCTGCCAGTGCCAAAAGATGAAACCCTAAAACTTACTGTAGTTGTACTTGAAGTTTTTTTTCCGCCTCGTTTAGTGATGCTGTAGGTAAGGGTCAAAATATATGGAGGCAGCCTTCATGGACATGCACTATAGTTGTGGTACATATCATTTACGATGGTACACAAATTAGTACTTTATGCAACGATTATATCACATGATCGTTGCATACATTATTTTGTCTACTACCAAAAAATAATAAAAACAAATAGTACATTATGTAACAAGTGTTATAAAACTCCTTTTAGTAACGAGTATTTTAAGCACGAGCGGAGCAGAGCGGAGCGAGTGTTTAATAAACGAGTGTCTAGAAAAGTTTATAAACGCGTTACATACCATGCTTTTTCTATACGAACTCCGAAAATTTCATTAACATACCTGCTATTCCTGCTAACCTACAAATTGATTCGAAAGGAATGGGAACTGAGAACATAATACATGCAACTGCATGCAACCAGCTAGACCCATATAAGTGATATTGGTTGTAGATGTGTCCAGTCCATTGCTTACTAACCTTTGTTTCACGTTTATTGTCATGCTTAGCGCATAATGAATAAATAGTTCTCAAAGATGGATGCTTCATTTTAACTCTTCTTGGAGATACGCAAGTACCAAAACGTTCTCTTCGATTTCCCTTTTGTCTACATTTCGCATATATTTTTAATGAAGAATTCTTATACAAACGAAAATCGTTTGAATAATTCTGATACGAAATTCGAAACTTAGAGATGACAGTTTCTACAATTGATAGGCCAGACATGTCTCAAATTATACTGAAGCTGTGTTCAATGAACTGTGTTGCCATGGTAATGTGTTTAAGAAATCGTGTTGCCATAGTAACGTGTTTAATATTTTGAATAAATCACAGATCGTCAATCCGTTATTAATCGATCATTTAGCGTGGTACACATCCGTACGCTAAATGCCATTTTAGTTATGTGAGTAGAAAAAATTCATCTCTTACTATGTAAGTATTTTTATTTTATATTTCAACATATTCCAACATCATCAGTCTATGAATTGTCTGTACCTTTGACGCGTTATGATCGAATGTCGTTTGAAATTGAATGTCAAACATCTCAAGCAAGTGAGATAGAGACAGACCCACTTGAGTATTCCCAAATATTGAGTATACCCAAATATGTTTTTCATATCGAAAAGTACGTGTCTTATAATGGAAATCCGTGTTAAAATGAACACTATTGAGAAATCTGTAGCAGATATTCAATTCGCGTATTGTGATACACGAGAGTAGAAAATCATACATATAAAACACAAAAATATACCTAAAATCAGCACCTAATCTTGTAGAATCTACAAGATTACCATATAGCTTATGAAGTTCAATGAATTGAATTTCCTAGATAGATATTCTAGTTAGGTGGTACACAGAATTATAAAAAGGAGTTTGTGGTACATTACTCTAAAAGGTCGAGAACCGCTGGAATAGAGCATGAAATTCAGAATTGATAGCCACCGCTAGTTTAATTAGATATAAGTACTTGGAATCAGTATGCTAGGGGGAAAATGAGGATTACTAGGATTAGGTGGGTCTCCTCATTCGCTTCTACTATGATGCTATTCTGATCGATCGTTGCTGTCTACAATCCGACCCTGGATCACTAGATAATGACTGCAACAAATACAGGGTGTTGCGAAATTCGACGCTTCATAGGTGATATATCTTTCCTGACTTGATGAAAAATCTGTTATCTCTGGAGAAAACAGGGTGTTGAAGGTGAAAAATGAAAATCCTCTTTAGGAATAACTCAAAAACGCTTGAATTTTTCTTTATTGTTATTGTTATATGATTTCCTCTTCTGAAACCTCAGCAATTGGTGACGAAACAGTAACTTCAGTCATCTCCTCCTGTGAATAAGCGCCACAGTGGGCTGAAGTAAATTTTTCTCCCATTTCCAGTTTGCTATGGAAAAAATCAAGGTGTTACCGCGACAACGACTTTTTTTTCAAACAAAAATCATTGAAAGCAACATTAGCGTTCTTGTTGGGTTTGAATTTACCAAAATTTCACTTCTCAAACGTTAATATTTCGAAAAAATATTGAATTTACGAGTAGAGTGTACTGTATGAAACTGTTGAGAATTATGAGGAGATTTCGAAAATAGAATAATATAAGGGGTGTTCCATTCAATGTTTATAGCCAGACAATCTGTTTTTTTCAGTTGTACTCTGACATCTACCAACTATGTGTTTCATTCACTGAGTGATGACGTCAGTAGTTCTGAGTGGCAAATCTTGACCGTATGAATAAGACTGACTTCATTTGTGATTTCAATACCTTAAAATAATCCTAAAATTGAAAGCTTTAGTGTGGAGATTGAGAATTCAAAATTCAGAAACAGTGTACTAACATATTTGAATGAAGTATATATTCAATTGGCAAACGTGAGTGAGAGGAAGGGTCTCTTTTCAGCTCCAAGTGCATTGTTTCCCTAAGCCGGTTCTGTATTCTGATTACTCACATCAACATCACTGACAGAAGGAAAACCATACTGTGATGTCTGAATGTGATCCCTCGTTGGCCTCCTGTTCTCGTGTTTTCCAGATGTATTTTTGGATCTACAGTAACATCTTTCCATTCCGTTTTCTGACAGAAATATTAAACAGAATTGTGCAGAAGTACAAAGGATTTAATTTTCCCTGGGTCGCTGATGTGAGCATATGAGTTCGTATTCTCTTTATACCCAGTAACTTCGAGTATTTTCCTCTAGTTTCTGGTATTTTAATTATCTTTTGTGGAAGAAAAGAAGTAGCTTCATATTCATAATCAGTGAAATTGAGACAAACTCACATGTGTAAGAGTAATTTGGTATTTCTGAAATTGATGATGTTTTTTTGACAGTAGTCAGAACGGTAATCTATCATACCATAAGTCATCA